TTACCTACAGGAGTGCAAACTCATAAAACTAACTGGTGCTAAGCTTTAATGGTTATTGTTTATTTTCATTAAAATGTATGCCTCTTTTGTCAGCATTTGTCTACTCAAAGGGCCTAAAATGAAAACTGGCATGTAGCAAAAGGCTTAATTAGAAAAGGCTTCATGCAGAAAACTACATCATATCAAAAGGCATGAACAGTGTGCAAGTCTACTACCAGGTAGGTGTCTTGGCTCTTGTAATGAAATCAGCAAAACTACTTTTTTTTTTCTGATGAGTGAATTAATAATAATATTATATCAGCCAATACATACATACTTCATATTTTTTAAGAAAAGAAAAATCAAACTGCCAGTTACTTTGAACTTTAGAGCATGATTTTCTTTGTGCTGTGCATGAGCCAAGTTTCTACACAGACCAACAACATTCCAGCTTTATTCCTTTTTGTTTGTTTTTCTTGCTTGTTGTTTACCTCTTATGAGTTTGTGGAAAAACTTTATGATCAGAAGTACATGCATTCATAGGAACAGTAACTAACATAGGTACATGGACTGGAAAAAAAGCCTAACCTACCCTAGCAGTATATCTTGAATAGAGTTCTTAGGGATTTGGACTAACAGGTTTTTGTTCACTTCTTACAAATCAGTTATTTTAATGAAAAACTACAACAGTTTCAAGTTCACGATTTTTTACATCATACAACATGGTTTAAAAATAACTGACAAGAGACAAAATGTATTTATTTTAGCTTCAGCCATCTGGAAACTAAGTGAACTAAATTAACTGAATTAAAGTATTTCTTTAGGCTCTCTGAAGTCAGGGCAACATAACTCACCCTAAGACAGATGACAAATATGTGGTTACATAATCTTTAAAGAGGCTCCTGCTCTCTAGCCCCAGGTCAGCCACCACTCCTGTCCTTTGTGCTGACAGTCATGTAGCATTTCAGTAAACTACACTGACAAATTGTAAAGGTTAAAATACCTGGCAAAGGAAAAAAAGGTTATTTTAATCACAGCTGAATTCAGTGTGTGATTGCAGAATCCCACAGCACAACAGGGAGCCAAACTGCTTTGGCATGGTTGTAATGCTATGTTATGCTTGAGTAAAGATGCAATGCACTTAGAGAAACAGGCTGTGACTGCCTCTCCATTTCTCTCTCTAATGATGACTGTTATGAAAACTAGCATAGAGAAATTAGACTAAATGTCATTTTTAGGAAACTAAAGTTAGAGGAGTTAGGCATACTACTTGTTTTCCTAGTCTAATTACATTAAAAAGTTCTAAAACATTTGATTAAACATTTTAATGTAATTAGAATAATTTAACATTTCTTTGAAAAACAAAGGATCAAAAGCAACAGCAACAGTCAACTGTGAAAACATCAGTAATTCTTGTTTGTGGAATTCAGGCTCCCTCTGGTGACCAGAATGCAACTGGCACCATTTATCTGTAAACTTGAAACTGCAAACCCTAGGGGTATTAAAAAAAAAAACAAAAAACAAAAGAAAAAAAACAACAAACAGGATTCACTCATTCACTTGTATCAGTTTCTAACAGCATTTTTAATATAATTGTAAAAATGAAATTTGTTATTTTTCAAATTCACTTAGTACTTCAAATATTCCATGGCATAATGAAGTACAAGAAATGACAACTTCTTTAAAATTACTGTGTGTACTTAGTTTTCTAGGTAGAGTCTTCTTAGAAGGCTTAGACAAAAATGGATTTCAGTACTTCTCACTCAGTTAATACTTAAAAATAAAGTGTTATTTCTACTAGATAATTATCTGATCATAATCTCTGTTAATGGATTGTTAGGGAATAAGAAGGAAATCACAACAGACAGAAGATTGATATTACCTCTGCTTTTCCTGAACTTTTTTCTCTACCAAACTTCTGTTTACATTGGTGTTTCTAGACATGGAAGTTGCCATAATGGTACTTCAGTACATTCAGATGTTATCAGCATCAAACTTCCATGTTATTTATGGAACAGTGTCTTAAAGGAAGCTAATGTGAACTTAATGTATTTTCAATTGTGTTACTGATGGTCCTCTTTCAACATTTTCAAGAATACAAAATAACAGGTGAAATCAGAATTCACCTTAAGAGTGCAGCAGAAACCACATAGAATTTGGACGGAACACGATAGTAACTCTGTAAGAAACTAAGTTTAGATCTTGCCAGAAATCAAACCAGCTACAGAAGTTCACTCTTCCACAGACAACAGAATCATTAATATCCTTCAAACAACAATGGAGGTTTTTTCTTTCTGCGAGCTTCAGTTTAAAACTATTTCCAGGGAATCACAGAATGGCCTGGGTTGAAAAGGACCACAATGATCATTGAGTTTCAACCCCCTGCTATGTGCAGGGATGCCAACCACTAGATCAGGCTGCCCAGCCACATCCAGCCTGGCCTTGAATGCCTGCAGGGATGGGGCATCTGCAACCTCCTTGGGCAACCTGTTCCAGTGCGTCACCACCTCTGTGTGAAAACTTCCTCCTACTATCTAACCTAAACCTCTGCTGTCTCAGTTTAAAACTATTCCCCCTTGTCCTATCACTATTCACCCTTGTAAACAGCCATTCTCCCTCCTGTTTATATGCTCTGTTCAAGTACTGGAAGGCTGCAATGAGGTCTCTCCAGTGCCTTCTCTTTTTCAAGTAAGGGAAAAGCAGAGACCAAAGTTATGTTACAGACAAGCTATGTTTGGAGAGAATACAGCTCTCAAAAAATGGAAAAATACATTTTCAACAGTTGTCTTATGTCAGACATGTAGCCACAGAAGAGTATATGTGTACAGATCCTGATTCACGGGAGTTCCCAGTATTTTCTCTTGCAGCTGTCTTCCTAAATTGTATACTCAGGATACTATCCCCAGAGTAGGCATACAAGGCATATTTGACATACAGCTTATTTTTGAATGTATATATGAAACTTTTTTTGGAAAAACTCAACAGTGTATTTCTAATATGCTTCTTTGTATCAGAAGGTATGTTTATTGTTTCAAGTACAGTTCAGAAACTACTACATGGTATCTGAGTGGAGGAGTGCACCAGAATATATCTACACCATACAGAGAAAACAATGATAGATGAAATGTGATCATTTTAATTCAACTTTAATTTTTTTACAACCTGAGCATCAAAAGGCACTTTAAAAACATCACTATGCAATTTGTTAGATGAAGCATTCAGCTCAACCAAAGTGATGAAAGGTACTATAATCAGTTCCAGAAGTTAGTGTAAGCAAAATACTCATCTTTTCAATGGATACGATACCAGCTGAAGAACAATAATTATGACTGGAATACAGTGACCATACTACAGAGGGAAAACATATTCCAAAAATAGGGCACTCTCAAATAAAAGATATTGCAGCCAAGAAAATGTAGGAAAATGTTAAACAAATTAAACAAATTTGGAAAACATGTGAAATATACTCAAATTTAATTCAAGAGATTATGTTCTAAATATTCCAAACTCAAGAATGTTCCAGGATGCACCACAACACAGTTCTATAATGATAAGGGAACTATTTTATCATTTGCAAATAAAAGATTATGTCAGTGAGCCACTGAATACAAGAAGAGCCGTATTTCTGATAACTGACACTTCAACTTTCTTATTTGTAGATGTGATAAAAAACATTAAAAAAACTAAGATTTTAAGGCATATCAGAAATTAATTAATGAGTTGCTAGAGAAAGTGCTGTATTAATAAAGACTTTCTCTATTTTTTATCCATTCTGGACTGCACAAGAGATTTTGTGACAGCAGCAGTCTTTGCTGTTCTGCAAAATGCCCCATATGGGTTGTTGCATCATTAAACAAGTAGGGTGACCTCAAATTCCTCAAAGCACAAAAGATAATTCATCAATACTGCAGAACTCTTTTATAAGAGTCTTTTCAGGGAATAGCTGGAATTGTTTTAAAGTGCTTTAAAGGACACTGATGAATTAATAATGTTTGCTGAGAATTTTTATTTACTATCTGTAAACAACATCGTTTAAGTATAGCCTTGTAGACAGAAAAAAATCTCCACTCTACCTTATTTTGTTTGCTGTTTCTTAGCTGACAGTTATATGACTTTTAATTTGTATATTTCTGCTGACTTGAGAACTCTATTTTAGATACATTTTATGTGTCTGACAAAGACAGTGGCCTTAGTTCCACTGTTAACTAAGAGTTATCCTCTTGAATTGCTCATGCAGGTACACATGTGTAATAGTGTGCACCTGCAACATTTTTCAGTAATTTCATAATTGTCAAACAAAGGCAATTAACACTGAGCAAGCCACAGACTGGTTCCACAAGCAGTCCAAAAAAACCACTCAAGCTAAAGCTGCATGGACTCTAATTTGATTCCTTTGGTAGTCTACCATGTTCTGGTCTACCATGTTCTGATCTCCCTTTATCCTCCAGTGGAGAGAAAGTCTCTATTTGATTTTATGTATATACCTCTATATAAATATATGTAAGTACGTATAGAATTCTGTGTGTGTATGTGCAGTTGTACACAAGCACATGGTGAGGTTTAAGAGTGATACATATTGCACAGAGGAAACAGAAAACTTAAAGACTCCCAGACCATAGAAGAGAAACAAATACCAAACTCTCAGTACTCTATTCAGCATGAACGCTAAAGAGAACTATGCAAATTTACAAGTCAGATAAAGTGCATATCAGCTGAGAAACAACACACAGTGTTTGAACCAGAACAAGGTCTAGTCTTTTTATCCATCTATAAACTTGTGCTTTGCTTTTTATAAATGCTAAGTAAAAAGATCTCAGAGAATGGCACTATAATTAAAGTCCCTTTCAGATATGTTGAGAAATCAATTGTGTAAGAATAGCAGCTGTTAAAAGTAAATCAGTGTTGACTAAATTAGTACCATCTTACTCATATTTGTGCTCTGCTATGATCTAGATAAGGCTCACTTCATAAGGTTGCTAGAAAGTCTTTAAAGCACTTAAGATTATATTGAAAAGTTGTACCTGCTATTTCTGAAAGTATAGCTGTATGATCATTTTCTGCCAACTGCACAAATCCAACTTCATTTTTGAAATGGTCGATTCCTTGAAAAGACAAATCCACGGTTTTTCCTTTTAGGAGATCTTCTACAAAATCCTTGCTGTCAGAAAGAGCACCAACTGCTCTGTCAAGGGGAAAGAAAATATGTATGTCATAGTCAAATATTTTAATATTGTTTATATATTATTAATCTCTCTATACAAAAATCTCAAAAGCATTTTTAGTATTAATTTACTATTTACTCAGGTATTTCTGTGCTACTTACTATCAGTGCAGTCAGTATTCTCACTATTATGTAATGGCAAACTGGTTCACGCACCCTGCTGTAAAACTGCAGAAACAGTAAGGCAGACAGCCACAGGTGTAATTCCTGAACAGAATTCATCTGAATGACTAGATACAAAGATGACAGTGTCTCTACTACTCTGTGCATCACATTTAAGATGCTTACTGAGAAGCATTTTGTTTTCTATTCTTAAAGTAATTTACTTTTGTTCATGCCCTGCTATGAGTGGGATGCTCTAAGATTCTGATTCCTTCAAGCTTGCTACTTGTTACTTAAAAGTATAAACAGATGTTAGTGACATTTTATATGTAATATAATGATAAAATTATACAGAAATTACTATTAAGCTCAGAGCAGACAGGAAAATAAGTATCACCAAAACCAATGCTTACTTTAAAAGACAGAAGTAGCATGCACAAATAATCCACATGTAATTTAACAGCAGCAACACTCATAACCTTCTAATCATTTTAATTAGCCCTATTAGGTATTTGTATGAGAACATGAAGTATTTGTTTTGAATCGCTTTTGTTTTGAAATTATTCACAATCAAGAAGAACCCTATATTCTTAATGCCTTCTAAAGATCTCTCATGTGCTCTTTAGTTGTAGAATTGGAAGTTTTCACTAAACCAATGTTGGCTTTATAAACACTAGATGGCAGTAAGAGGATAAAAACTCTCAAGAATTTATTTTACTCTTTTTTACAGCAGCTGGATGAAAGGCATCAGCATGATTTCCGACATGTCTGTATTTTTATGCCTGTACGTACATATACAAGCATCTCTACACACTTTTCCAGTGTACTTAATAAGATGGAGTATTGAGAACCATGCAGTTAATTGAAACCAAGGCCAGGTTAAGAAAGTTACTTGATTTCAATCAAGGATTTTTTGTCATGTAAGGGAATGCTAGCTTTCTTTATGTTATTTTAAACCTTGCATTCTTGGTTTTATACAGTCTTAAATGTAAAGTGTATTTATGGAGGCCAGATTGCAGCCTATCTGCTAGAAAGATCCTATGCAAATTGCAGGTCTGGATTCCCATACAAAGAGAAGCTTAATTTCCATGTCATGCTCAATTGAATATTATGTTTAGAACAGTCTTATCGCGTTTGAACTTCAAATAGCATTCAACACATTTCATTTCTGTATAGACAGAGGCAATACATGATAGTGTAGATATCTGAATAACTCAACGGATCCAAACTTATGGATCTGTGAACTTTCAGCTGCCCAGATCACTAGTTGCAGTTTGAGTTAGTACTGTAACTCAACGTTACACACAGGTTCTTCTGCCAGTCTGGATCTTGATTTCTTTCCATTAACGTGGTATCAAAAAGTTGGTGATGAAAGGAAAATGCAACTTCTCTGTCTTCAAGTGCTCACAGATTGTTAAAAAGAAAGCATGAGTTACAAAAAAAAATAAGAATTCCATACAATAGAAAATGCAACCTAGAATACCTGAGGACAGCTGAGCTAGATAGCTGCAGGAAGCACCTGGACAGGAAAGGGGAGAATCACTGGGGAAGCTGCTGACTAGAGGACAGATCCTGTGTTCCTGGACTGTGGAGTTCTGCTGGGAGAGGCAGAAAAGAACTCCATAAGCAAGTGCCCAGGTGGCCATCAGACAGCAAGAGCTGAGAGGAACTCAAGGTGTGGCTAAGGATACTGAATTTGGCAATATTTCTTTTGATATACAGTTTAGGACTGTAAAAAAATAATTATTAATGACAAGGTATATTTGCCTTTGATATAACCTCTCACACTCCTTTTTTTAAAAAGTTCATACTTAAATGCCTTTAATAATAATCTTGGTCTCACTGTTTTCACCAATTCTCAGGTGCTACCACAGTTCCCTCATCAACCTGGGCAGGTGTGTCTACTCCAGGAGACGAAAGGAACATGGAGGAGGAGTCCAGCAGATCTAGGATACTTTGCTTTCCTTTCTGTTCCTGGTTAGCTACTTCTCTCTTTTCAGAGTGTTGAAGGAGGAAGGCTACAAACTCATAACTTCACAAGAGGAGAGGTAAGAACATTGAGGCCTCAAGGATTTAGTATTACAGCACTCAAGGAAACAAGTGTGAAAAACAAACAGAGCAACTGATTTAGACGCACTGGTAACTCGTTAT